ACTGGTGCAGCCACAGTGGAAAGCAGTATGGAGGTTTCTCAGAAACTAAAAATAGAACTAACATGTGACCTACAAATTCAACTCCTGGGTGTATATCTGAAAAACAAACAAGCAAAACTAATTCCAAACGATACATACATCCCAATGTTCAGAGCAACATTACTAGTGATTGCTAAGATATGGAAGAAATCTAAGTCTCTATCAACAGATAAATGGATAAAGAGGAGTAGTATATACACATGTGATGGAATACTATGCAGTCATTAAAAAGGAATGAAATTCTGCTATTTGCCACGTCATCTACAGACTTAGGGGGCACTATGCTAAGTGAATAAGTCAGAAAAAGACAAATGCTATATGATATCACTTATAGGGGAATCAAAGAATACAACAAACCAGTGACTATAACAACAAAGAAGCAGATTTGCAGATAGAGAGAACAAACTAGTGCTTAACAGTGGGGAGAGGGAAGTGGATAGGAGCAACACAGGTGTACAGGATTAAGAGGTAAAAACTATTAGTATGAAATAAGTTACAAGGGAATATAGCCAATATTTTATAATAACCACAAATGGAATATAGCCTCTAAAAACTGTAGGTCACCATATTGTACATCTATAATCTATATAATACTGTACATCAACTATACTTCAATTAAAAAAAGATAAAAACATCATCTTCTTTCCTGCTGAGCTCAAATATAATCTCAGAATCCCTCTACCCTCACATGGGAGTTCGCACTTGTAGTAGAACTTTCTGCCCTCCTTGGGCTAAGATTCTCTAAAGCTCTAAAACACGCTCCCTCCCAAGTAACTTCTGCATGTTCATAATGACTTTCTGTCATTCATATTCTTACCTCATTTGAATCCACAAGAATGATGCCAGTGCTGGGGAATTTAAGATCAATAATGGACGTTCCCTGGTGCCTCAGTGGTAAAGAATCTGCCTGCCAATGCAGAAAATGCAGAGTTCGATTCCTGGGTCAGGAAGATCCCCTGGAGAAAGGAATGGCAACCCACTCCAGTATTCTTGTCTGGGAAATCCCAAGGACAGAGGAGCCTGGCAGGATACAGTCCATGGGGTCACAAAGAGTTGGACACGACTGATGCAACTGAACAACCATGCAAGACAAAATAAGCACTTCTATGAAATACCAATAAAGGTATTTAGGAGAGATCATTTGAAATCGTGAATGAACTCCAGCTCCTATATAGTCATATATACATCAGCAATTCTCAGAAGGAGGCAATTTTCACATATTACCATTGTGTAAAGACAGTTTGGTTCATTACAACTGGGAGTGCTCCTGGCATCTGGTGAGTTGAGGCCAGGGACACTGCTAAACATTCTGAAATACACAGGAGAAGCCTCAAGAACTCAGAATTATACAATTTAAAATGCCAAGAGTGTCAAGGCTAAAAAATCTTGGTAAACAGTAAGGTTGATTAATGGCAGAAAGAACTTTAGAGAAGTTCTCATCCAACTGTGATAGGATGGACCTAAGACTCAAACAAAATGTATGTGGACAGCTCAGAAGAAATAGCAAATAGCCCTACACATCCTTCTAATGGAGAAAAAAAAAAAAAAAACCTGTTTTATACGCAGAAGATGGCAGTCTATCATTTCCCTGACAGCCTATCCTTATGGTTAAACAGACATTAGAACTAAGATCATTGGTTCTATGCATTGCTTGTTGGATTCAGTAGAAAGAGGGTAGTAGAGGATGGTATTGCCATTTTTATACATGGAAATATTAGAAATCATTCATTCATTTCAACATTGGCTACACAAATACTTGGGGCCTCCAAGTGGCTCAGTGGTAAAGAATTCACCAGCCAATGGAGGAGATGCAGGAGACATGGGTTGTGAAGATCCACAGGTCAGGAAGATCCCCTGGAGGAGAGCATGGCAAGCCACTCCAGTATTCTTGTCTAGAGAATCCCATGGACAGAGGATCCTGGTGGGCTACAGTCCATGAGGTGGCAAAGAGTCCCACACGACTGAGCAACCGAGCACGCGTGCACACACACACACACACACAAATATTTATTTAAGCCTTTATATTGTACTATTGTGCTGATGCAAGTAAAACAACATTCAGCGAAGATGACCCTTGCCATAAAAAGCTTGCAATCAGCTGCGAGAGGTGGGCAAACAGCAAGTTCAATGCAGTGCAATCAATGCTGAATTGAGAGAGCCCATGTGTGCACAGAGGAGGGGCATCTATCTAGCCTGGTCTCGGTAGTAAGGGAAAATGTTTTCAGAGGGAATGAGCTGAGCTCTGGAGAGAGAGTAGACATTAGAAACTCAAAACTGAGCCCCTAGGACAACCCACTCCATTTGCTAAGCTCAACTAGAGTGCTGAAACCCAGTTAATCTACAAATCTGAATCAGTTAGTATTTGCACTGAAAACGGTGGCAGATTTTATTTTCTTGGGCTCCAAAATCAACTGCAGACTGTGACTGCAGCCGTGAAATCAAGAGACACTTGCTCCTTGGAAGAAAAGCTATGACAAATCTAGACAGCGTATTAAAAAGTAGAGACATTACTTTGCCTACAAAGGTCTGTCTAGTCAACGCTATGATTTTTCCAGTAATCATGTACAGATGTGAGAGCTGGACCATAAAGAAGGCTGAGTGCTGAAAAACTGAGGCTTTCAAATTGTGCTGGAGAAGACTCTTGAGAGACCCTTGGACTGTAAGAAGACTGAACCAGTCACTCCTCAAGGAAATCAGTCTTGAATTTCATTGGAAGGACGGTGGCTGAAGTTGAAGCTGTAGTACTTTGGCCACCTGATGCGAAGAGCCAATTCACTGGAAAAGACCCTGATGCTGGGAGAGATTGAGGGCAGGAGGAGAAGGGGGCGACAGAGGATGAGATGGTTGGATGACATCACCGACTCAATGGACATGAGTTTGAGCAGATTGCAGGAGGTGGTGAAGGACAGAGGAGCCTGGTGTGCTGCAGCTCCTGGGGTGGCAAAGAGTTGGACACCGAACGGAGTGACTGAACACTAACATAATAACAAAAACAATCTAAAAACAAGTCAAAGAAACATATTCCAATATGGAGATAGAATTGGCTGCTCTGCAATATCCCCATAGCCTGCAGGTAACACTTTCTCATCCCCTTCCTCCTGGAGGGCTTTCTAAGAAAGCCTTTCTAAGAGGGCTCACTCTTCACTCCCTTCCCTGCTTTAACCACCTCCACTCTCCCTTCAGGTCAGGCACCTATGGATAGACCTGATGATTGAGGGCAGGAGGAGAAGGGGGCGACAGAGGATGGGATGGTTGGATGACATCACTGACTCAATGGACATGAGTTTGAGCAGATTGCAGGAGGTGGTGAGGGACAGAGGAGCCTGGTGTGCTGCAGTTCCTGGGGTGGCAAAGAGTTGGACACCGAACGGAGTGACTGAACACCAACATAATAACAAAAACAATCTAAAAACAAGTCAAAGAAACATATTCCAATATGGAGATAGAATTGGCTTCTCTGCAATATCCCCATAGCCTGCAGGTAACACTTTCTCATCCCCTTCCTCCTGGAGGGCTTTCTAAGAAAGCCTTTCTAAGAGGGCTCACTCCTCACTCCCTTCCCTGCTTTAACCACCTCCACTCTCCCTTCAGGTCAGGCACCTATGGATAGACCTGAACACTGTATCAAGTTCCAATAAAACCAAATGAATCCAAGATTCAACTACTTTTTCAGTCTACAAAGGGAAGCATTATGTGATACGACTCTTTCTCTGTGCTTGGAGCTGAGACAGATGTGTGGTGGGGGGGTGGTGATTTTTATTTATTTATTTATAGGTTTTATTAAAGCTCACCTATTACCCACAGGCCTCAGGCTCCCTACAGAGAAACAACTATCACAATTGAAGCAGCTGGTTTCCAAGGTGCCAAATTAAAATAGATGAAGAGGTAAGGGGGGAGGCGGGAATAAAAACATTAAGCTGAGACTTCTTCCCTCCCAAGTGCACAGTGCCTTCTACTATATTGCTCACATGAAATTGACTCCCAGTGTAATTAGACCAGGGCTACAAGGCAAAAAAAAAAGAAAGAAAAATCTCAAATTATTCAGACCCCCAGAGCTATACTTTTGCAATCACTCAAGTAACCGAGAAAGGAGCCAACTTTTTAATATAAATTTGTTATCAGTATCTATACCGGCCAAGCTATTACAACACCCCATCTGCCTAAGAATACAGTCACAAGCTGAGTCGTGAATCAAAGGGAAGAGTCAGTCTTCCCACTCGCTCTCATAAACTTTTCATACGTAGAACAATCCGACTGGAAACTGCAGTTTATTCCAACAGTTCTCAAGGGCTGCTGGTCCCATATGAAGGAGCTGGAGAGTTCCTCCGGTCTGCGGTAGACACCATGCTCCCATTAGAATGGCTTGTGTCAGCCGTATTATACGGGCACATCCACATCCATCTCTCTTTGCAGCCCTGAGCTTGGAATTGCCATAGTGCCCTCCCTCTCACCCCAAAGAGGCAGGAATGGCTTAATTGCCTTCCAGGTTGAAAATGAGCCGCAGAGACAGAAGAGCATCTTTCATGGGACTCAGAGGGGAAAGAAAGCACCATCTTCCAAAAGAGGCACTTACTGGATTTCAGCAGTGCTGCCAGAACTTCAGCGGCTGCCCTGGGGAAAGAGAAAGAAGAGTGGTCAAGTCAATGTTCTGTGGTCTTTTTGTCAGCCCAGGGATCCCACAGCCGGCCCGCTCACGGCTGCCACCTAACTGCCCTGTTAGTAACCAGGTAGCAGGCATTCCCTGGATTCTACCACTGGCCATTCAAGGGCCAGGAATGCAGAAATCCTGCTAGTGAAGCGTCTCTCTTGCAAATGGGTCTCAAGAGTCCCTTCTGCTGCTGGGAGTCTCTTCCCCTCCCTGCTTCCACCAACTTCCTCACACTTTACTCCTTCCAGCCAGAGCTCTCACGGGCCCTTGATTTGTACCTGCAAACCCTGGGGACTCTGTGGAACGAGTTGGGAGGAGGTGAGCCTTGGAGGCGGGGTGAGTACCGCAGTTCACTGCAAACTTCTTGAAATGCTCAGGGCCCAGGGGACACACTGGAAAACATTCACACATTGGAGAATGAAGCTGGTTCCTTAGGGTAGAAAATGACGATATTGCATTTTTCTTCCAAATTCATTGTTTTCTTCCATCAAGGAATCTGACGGCCTTTGTAACAGCAAGAGGAGGCACAGAGAATGAAAATGCCTTTGGCCCAAGGCTTAGCGACTTCCGTCTGCTTCCTGTGCCTGGGAAGATCACACGAAGACCCACTCATATGGCAGAGGGAAACTTCATAGCACTGGGGACTCTGCTGTGATTCAGGGAGGGAGAGTGGGCTTGCTTTAAAAAAAAGAAGACGAAGTATTCTGCACAGCCCTACTAACTTATCCTTAAAGCCTATTCAACAGTAATGCTTTCAAACTGTGGGACTGGAGAAGACACTGGAGAGTCCCTTGGACAGCAAGGAGATCAAACCAGTCAATCCTAAAGGAAATTAAGCCTGAATAACCATTAGAAGGACCGATGCTGAAGCTAAAGCTCTAATTCTTTGGCCACTTAATGCAAAAGCCAGCTCATTGAAAAAGACCCTGATGCTGGGAAAGATTGAGGGCAGGAGAAGGGCAAGACAGAGGGTGAGATGGTTGGATGGCATCACTGACTCAGTGGACATGAGTTTGAGCAAACCCCAGGAGACAGTGAAGGACAGGAGAGCCTAGGGTAATACAGTCCATGGGGTCACGAAGAATCGGACGTGACTTAGCAACTGAACAACAAAAAAAACCCAGTGATATGTTCCCAGCACCCTTCTGAGAACTGGGAGGACAGGCCAAAGAAAATATATCACTATTCCAAGATTTCATAGACGTGGGAGATGAACTGAGACCCCAAACCCAGAAACGTTTCTTCCCATCTTTGCTTCCTACACATCCATTGGTCTTCAGAGCTCATCTTGCACTTGCTTTGTCCTGGTCTCCGCATAGTTGATAAGGAGCAATTCTCTTTGCAATATATTATATACTATTTCCCTGGTGGCTCAGATGGTAAAGAATCTACCTGCAATGCAGGAGACCCAGAATGAATCCCTGGGTCAGGAAGATCCCCTGAAGAAGGGAATGGCTACCCACTTCAGTATTCTTGCCTGGAGAGTTTCATGGACAGAAGCTACAGTCTGTGGGGTCACAAAAAGTCACACATGCCTGAGCAACTAACACTTTTACATTGAGTAATAGAGCTGATGGTGAAAAATAATAAAACATAGGAATGAATGAAATAAAATAAAAACTAAATAAAATAAATAAACTAAATATTTTAAACTAAATAAAAATAAACTAAACTAAAATAGAAATTAGGCACTTGAAACATGATTGCTCTCCATAACTTATGAGAGAATCCTGCAAAGCAGTGGCCTGATGCTCAAAGGCACAAATCCATGGTTGGGATGACCCCAGCTCAGTGAGACCCACCCAGCTTCAGGGTAGTTGTAAAGAAAGCAAGGCTAGTTTTCACCGATGTACTACACCATTTCTCCTTCCTAACCACAGTTTCCTCAAATCAACTTTCAGCTTCCTCAGCCACCCTCTTTTCAACTCTACATAGTGGTGTTGCAGAAAGGGGAACACCTTCTTGTCTAACATTTGGAAATGAATTGTCCAGGGAGACACATGTACTGACAAAACGAAAGGCATTATTGGGAAGGGGCGCCCAGGGGGAGAGCAGGGGACCCAGGGAACTGCTCTGCCATGAGGCTCACTGTCTCGGGTTTTACGGTAATGCGATTAGTGTCTAGGTTGTCTCTGGCCAATCATCTCACTTGACTCATACAAGGTCTGACTCAGGGTTCTTCCTGGTGGTGCGTGTATCTCCCAGCCAAGATGTATTCCATGGAGAAAGATCCTGGGAGGTTGGTAGGGCATATAGACTGGCAACTCCCCCCTCCTTCCAGCCCCTTCCAAATTCTCCTGGTTACTTTTTGGTGTGTTCATTATCAGGACCTCTTATTTCAAGATAACTCATGTAAGTGCCTGGCCAAGGCAGGCAATTTCAGCTAATTGTTCCCTAACCCTAGTGACTCTAAAAAGAGGCACTTTGAAGGCGTTGCTGAGAGCCCATGCCACAGTACAGAAGGCCTGGCTTGGGCTGAGACAAAATGAAAATCAGTATTTTGGGTCAAAAGAAGAGTAGCCATATTGAGTTCATCGAAGGGGATTAGCAGAGAAGAAGGAAACTGTAGAAATAGGAAAAGAAAGAATGGGGTTTCCCAAGCGCAAGAGCTAGCCTAATCTTAGATCACAGACCAGGTCTTGGGGCAACCCTGCATTTCTGATTTGCATGGCATATTTGTGTGGGGGATTCACTATCAAGTACTGCTCTGTTGAAAACTGAAAGTGTTAGTTGCTCAGTAGTGTCTGACTCTTTCCGTCCCCATGCACTATAGCCCACCGGGCTCCTTTGTCCATGGAATTCTCCAGGCAAGAATACTGGAGTGGTTGCCATTTCCTTCTCCAGGGGGTTTTCCTGACCCAGGGATTGAACCTGGGTCTCCTGCATTGCAGGCAGATTCTCTACCATCTAAGCCACCAGGGAAGCCATTAGTGACTCTAAAAAGAGGCACTTTGAAGGCGTTGCTGAGAGCCCATGCCACAGTACAGAAGGCCTGGCTTGGGCTGAGACAAAATGAAAATCAGTATTTTGGTCAAAAGAAGAGTAGCCATATTGAGTTCATCAAAGGGGATTAGCAGAGAAGAAGGAAACTGTAGAAATAGGAAAAGAAAGAATGGGATTTCCCAAGCGCAAGAGCTAGCCTAATCTTAGATCACAGACCAGGTCTTGGGGCAACCCTGCATTTCTGATTTGCATGGCACATTTGTGTGGGGGATTCACTATCAAGTACTGCTCCGTTGAAAACTGAAAGTGTTAATTGCTTAGTCATGTTCAACTCTTTGCAACCCCCACAGACTGTAGCCCGCCAGGCTCCTCAGTCCATAGGATTCTCCAGGCAAGAATACTGGAGTGGTTGCCATTTCCTTCTCCAGGGGGTCTTCCTGACCCAGGGACTGAACCTGGGTCTCCTGCATTGCAGGCAGATTCTCTACCATCTAAGCCACCAGGGAAGCCAATGGTATGATAACACAATAAATAAACATGAATCCAAACACTGACATGATACAGCAGAAAACACATGGTAAGTGTTGTATTAGTCAAAGATGGGAGATTGATTCCTGAAGAACCAGAAAATATTTCTTTCTTTACAAATATTTTGTCCCTTCTAATTGGGGGATCAATCCATAACACAGCAAAGGGCACATTTATACCAACAATGCACATCATGTTTGAGACCAAAATCCAGTGTAAGTTTAGATACAATTTCATAGATAATAAGAAGCCATTCCATTTCTTCTATCAAGAGGGTATGGTGTCAAGGGTGGAAAAGTGAGAGGAAGAATTTGAGCAAATCAAAACAGGAGGAAAGGGGGCAGAGCACAACTTTTAAAGGAATGCCACAGCCATAAGACATGACAAAGACTGGTTAGAACCAACTAGACCCAAGGTGGTAGGGGATCCGACGTCCAATAGACTTTGAGCCGCATTACGTGCTCAGTGTAATATATTAGCGTAAGCTAAGTGACACACCCACCAAGTGCCATGACAGCTCTGAGTCCAACCATAAAAGGCCCAAAATGGGGTGGTTTGGTCCATTTTCTGGAAATCTCACCCCTCCCCTGAAATAACAACAATCCTCCCTGGCCTGTGAAATTTATTGTTCAGTCGCTAAGTCGTGTCTGACTTACACAACCCCATGAACTGAAGCCCACCAGGCTCCTCTGTCCATGGGATTTCCCAGGCAAGATCACTGGGATGGGTTGCCATGCCCTCCTCCAGAGGATCTTCCCAATCCAGGGAAGCCCAGCCTATGAAACTACCCAGCTCATAAAAACTAACTACAGCATATTTCAAGGCCTCTCTCTCTCACCTTCTGTGAGACTCCACACTCTATCTGTAGAGTATGTTTCTCTCTAAATAAACCCACTTTTACCTATCACTTTGTCTCTGAACTTCTTATAAATTAAGAAACTCAAATTCACCAGGAACAGAATCAATAAGGTTTGATGATAAACAGGTCAGTGATAAAGCACAAAGGAAAGGGAAGAGTCAATGACAGCCTGGAATTTTTAGCCAAAGTAATTGGGAGAACAATCAACCTAGGAAGGAGGGACATTCAGGTGTTTAGAGAAGATGATGAGTTTGATTTGGGACTTGCTGAGCTCGAGATGACGGGGACAGAGCTACACAGAACTATTCAAAACGCGACTGGAAACACAGACTGAGGGTTCTGGAGGACATCCAGAGTTGGGGTGTATATTTATGAATCACTACAGTAGCAACACCAGTTGTAGCCACAGAAACAGGGGATATCCGTGAAGAAATTCTATCAAGAGCTGAGTAGAGAATTGGTCCAGGGAAGCATCTGGACTAGAGGGAAGGAAACCCCTAAGAAACTCAGATAACACACAGACAAGGAGAAGGAAATAGAGGGGGTTCAGTTTAAAACTGGAAGTCACTAGATTTTCCAGGCACAGTGTTTTTCAAACTGTAGGTTGTGACCCAATTGTTTGTTGTTTTTGCTAAATCGTGTCTGACTCTTTGACATTCCATGGACTGTAGCCCATCAGGCTTCTCTGTCAATAGACTTCTCCAGGCAAGAACACTGGAGTGGATAGCCATTCCTTTCTCCAAGGGATCTTCCTGACCCAGGGATCGAACCTGGGTTTCTGCGGCATTGCAGGCAGATTCTTTACCATCTGAGCCACCAGGGGAGCTGTAGGTTGTGACCCAATAGAAGCTGTAAAATCAGTTCAGCAGTTAACTAACTAGCTTCATTAATGAAAATGAATAAATTGGAATGGAATAAAATATATCCGAGATATCTCATTCAGCAAAGCTTAGCAGTGATCTGGGAAACCTTATTTCAAGGCCCATACACACATTGTGTGCCTACTGGGAAGATAATATAAATAGTTTCCTCTAAAAAAAATTAAGCTTGTAAAGATGCAGG